GTCCAAATTCAAATTGAGAACCAAGATTCTAGAACCTAGAAATTTAAGAACCCAGAACATACTAGATTCCGGAACCCAGAAATTGAGAACCTAGAAAAGCATACCAAATTACAGAACCCAGAAATTGAGAACACAGAAGAGCATACCAGATTCCAGAATTCATCTTCCCAAAAGCACTCTCGAACCGATTCTTAAAACAACATTCTATTAACATAAGTATTCAAGCTAGAAAGCTATTTTCACAAGGGAGATTATATTCACACACCCCAAATTACTTATCTCACACCTTTTTAATTTTTTAATATTTTTCTATCAAGTGTTAGTGGTGTGTAGAAAATATTAAAAAATTTAAAATGTGTGGAATAAGTAATTTTGGGTGTGTAAATATAATCTCTCTTTTCACAAATCCAAATTCAAAAACTTAAATCCCTAAAATAAAAAAAACCCCTATTTCAGAAATTAACTAAATTTTTGCAGGATGACGGTGGTGTTCTCGACGCAATGATGGGGAGGTGGTGGTGGCGACTCGCAATTGGGAGTCAAGAGAAGATGATGGTGAATCGGTGATGATGGCAAGTTGTGTGGTGTATAGGAGGAGGAGACTCAGGACTCTGGAGAGGACTGGGAAAAGAAAAGGTCGAATCGAGGTAGTGAGCGGATCCAATCCATTCATTTCATATTAGATACGGGCCGATCCGGGGCCCTGTGCTTCCTAAGTTTTGGATCTGCCCCGCCCCGTAATTACATTCGCCCCGCCCCGCCCCATCACGTTTCTTCTTTGATAAATTCGTACCCGTCCCTAACCTGCCCCGAATCGCAAGTACCCGCCCCAACCCGAGGGTCCTGGACCCGTTTGCCCACCCCTAATAATGAGAATTGGAGAGGGTATTTTCTATAGTTATATGGATAATTGGGTTGGGCTTTTAAATTAATGAGATTGGTGTAATAAAAATAAGGGTAAATTATATTTTGCACCTTCAAGTTTTGGTGTAATTACACCTCATACAACATCTTTAAAACAATTCAATCACATATATTTACTATTATTTCATTTTATTGTCATACAACTTTTAAAGAATTTATTAAGTTCACCATTAAGAAATAACGTGATAACAATGAGTTCCACATTTATACTGACGTGGCTACTAAACTTGGAGCACATGACCAAACAACTAAAAAAAATATTTAATTAATAAAAATTAAGTTTTTTTAATAATTAAAAACTTTAAAATAGAAAAAGAAAAGAAATGAAAACTCTAAATCTTCAGGCCATTTCCACCCTGCAAATGCAAAAGCCCCATCCCAACGTCAGCGTCTTCCTCAGTGGGAAATTTTTTATTTTTTTAGTTTTTGGTTTATAGGTTTAGCTGGGTTGTTTTTAGGAGAATTTCATGTTGGAGCAATATTAGAAAATATGAAAAATAACAATATAATTACAATGATAATAATCATAAAGAAAATCACAACATCAATTTATGTATGGGATTAATATAAACAACTAAAGATAAAGTTAGAAAAACTCACAAACGTAGAGATTGAGGCTTGCATAAATGCAATGTCCTAAAGATAGAATTTCGCGCCTACTCTAGTTTGGTAGGCGTCCGTATCCCAGGATTTAACAATCTATAATCTAAAGTCAAACCACTTCAATCTTCAGACTCTGGCGAACTTTATATATTCCATACTCTCAAGACATGACTCGGAGTTTGACTAACAAAAATAAAAGACATTGGAGAAAACTCTATTTTTTGATCCATTAGATATGTGGGATGTTTGAGTTTATATAGAACTCAAGCCACCCCTTTTTGAAACATTGTGATCGTTGCCTAAAGTTCCAACGACAGACGCAACTCATGAATTTGAATTCAACTATGACACATGACTTTTATTTTTCATTCATATAAAAATTAAATATTATAATATTAATTATAATATATAATTTCCAACAATCCCCCACATGAATGAAAAATTAGGAAGAATTTGAAAGTACAGGCGGACAAGAGATGCATCCGGAGAGGTGTCTTTTGGACTTGAACTTACCCTAGTGAATACTTATCGGATTTACTTGGTGACGCAGTGAATATGGAATCTTGAACTGTTCACTGCAGCAATAAACCTAAACAATAAGCAACACACATCACTAATCCTAATATATTCCGGTCTATATGGTTGTGTTCATTTTAATCCTAAACAAATCCCGGATTCATGAGAGCTTTAGAGAATTTAGTCATCTTATACTCATAGAAGCGACCCACTTCTACTCTCACATAGGTGACAATTGATTAAGAATAGTCTGCTCTATTCCTCTTATTTATAAGATATTACTGTCATTAAGTATAAATATACAATCTAAAACGTATGCAGACAACACACTTCTTCCATCATAGGAATGAGGTATATAGTGTGTTAACTTCTTTAAATCATGCCCAACTAGTTTGCCTATTTAACTTAGACCATGGGATTTCCAATCAACTAAGTTAGGTTTCCGCCCGACTGATTAATTAGTTATATTGGCTTTAGCCTCATTCCCCTTGATGATCAACTTACTCTCTATTCAAACTTTTAATAATTGGTACCACTAAGGTTGACTATCTTTAAGGTGTGCACAATCCATTTTATGAAATTATATTTCATATGAGAGTAGTTGTTTCTCAATTTTAAGTCCTCAAAAGTATATATATGTTGGGACTTTTCTAAGTAATTTGCCTATGCTTGGTAAACTCTCCCACATTTAAGGTATTTATCGAAAAGTCTATAACTTTTCAATATCTTAAAATACCATTGCAAGAGATAATCTTTATCTCTTTCTATAAGCAAATTACTTGGTCATTCTACCTAAGTTGACATATAGTCCAAAGATAACTATGTCACTCCCCCACAATTCACTCACATTGTGGTTGCTTTTTAATGCTATCAATTACTCCTTCATCATACTTAAGAAGTAGGAAACAGTGAATATATTTTCTCTTTATCTATCTTCACTTCTAGGCTTTCAAGCCTCACAAGTCCTTTCTATGAGAAGCACTTCTGGCCCTTTAGCCTTTAAACTAATCGAGATTTCATAGTTAAGACTTCACTCTTTGACTAAAGACAACCACAACTTTCTTTATAACATGTTCACTTTCACCATGACTAACATGGATATGGATAAGACTCTCTCTAGTGCAAGTGTTGTATTTCACAATAACAGGTAGTCATTTCCTTAATGGCAACTGATATGCCTTGAAGAGAAACTGCCATGATCTGCGTCTCGCCCACTTGGCTTCAAGGCATGGGACATACATGAAGGTAGGAAATTGAACAAAGACATGTCCAGTGAAATATCTATTCACCATAAGTTTCTACACGAGCAAGAATATGCTCCATTCATGTTTTCCAGAAATTTTCCAAGAGACCCATCTTCCTAATTGAAAGATTGTAATCGCTCACACATATAGGAGCAAAAACATGGATGCCACAAAAACTAATCTCACAGAAAACAAACACAATAATAATGCAAGTAATTTCTACAGCCCAAGACGCACTACCATTTACATCTCTACTTTTACAGTAAAGAAAAGATATCTGCAGTTGCCATGTAATGGCTTTTCGCATCTACAACAAAGCTAACTGATCGATGCCACTCAAACGACATCATCGATCTCTTCGTTTGGAAAAAAAATAAAAGATCATGTTCATAACCACACCATCTCTGTAACCGAATTGTTACAGTCTGATAAGAGACCTTTTAATGACCAATAAGTCACCATACCTTTTCAGCGTTTTTGGAAAGAGGGATGCGTCCTTCACGCATTTGTTCAGATTAAAACAATTTGGGCTTTGACAGAAAGATGCAATTTCTAGCCACTTGTGTTTTGAGTCACAACTCTTCATTTAAGAGTTACTCAGACTTTGACGTACACAAGTCAATTGCATCCCCTTAGACAATCTTTGGTCTTTGATTGAAATGACAAACTCTTTTATCTGGAAAAAACGATATTTCCAGATTCTGCAAACCAATTATGCTGTCTCAAAATGGTTCATCCATTCTTGAACCAAAATTTGTTCATCCCTCAACTTCTAATCAAGAGGTCCCGTTATCAAATGGTGCGACTCGTATAGAAGAACGCACTGGATTTTAATTCCCATATTTCCAGTTGATAAGATTCTCATACAGAACACAAATTTAATCACAATAAAACGATCAAATTTTTAAAGTTGATCATTTTGTAACTCATAATTGGACATACTGAAAATGGAAGAAAACGATCGTGCCGCCATGCACCAAGTGAGAAAAGACATGTCCAATTTAATATGAACATATAGATTTGAGTTCGACAAACAAATATAGCTGTTTGTACCATACTTGGGGCCTCTGTATTTAGATCTCGTATAAATATTCGGAGGACTCAAATGTAATTATGTAATAAATTGAGGGGCAAATATGTAATAAGTAAGGAGCCCTTATTTTATAAAAGGGCATCCTCACCCTCACAAACTTCAAGCCTCACTCTCACCCTAAGAGGCTCTCACTCTCTCTCCCTCACCATCCTCTTCAACATCTCAGAGAAATACAATATCAGTGTGGACGTAGCCCAAACATTGGGGTGAACCACGATACATATTGTGTTATTTACTTTCTTGCAGATTCACGGTCGGATTTACGTTGTTCCAAGACCCTTCCGGTTTTGTGCATCAACATTTGGCGCCATCTATGGGATACGACACAAAAAGCTATGTCGATTTTCTTTCATTTTTTCATCTCACCACTGTCCACCGTGGATCTGCAAAACCAAGAGACGCTCAACTCTCTCTCTCTCAAGCCAATATCAATTAAACAAAACCATTTTCAACTCCGACACCACACTGCGAAGACAGTCAGTGGGGAAGAAAGAGAAACTAGAGAAAGAGAAAGCAGAAGCTCCTAAAACTCTCTAGAATCTCCTAACTCTATCAGACCATAACTGACCCATTTCATTCTCTCTCTCTTGCAATCTTTGTGAATTAAAGGGGAGTAAAAGATGAGTAGTCGATCGAGTCGCACTATCTACGTCGGCAATCTACCTGGAGATATTCGTATGAAAGAAGTTGAAGGTTTATTCCTGAAGTATGGGCCTATTGTTGACATTGATCTCAAAATCCCTCCAAGACCGCCAGGTTATGCTTTTGTTGAGTATGAAGATCCTCGTGATGCTAATGATGCAATTTATGGCCAGGATGGGTACGACTTTGATGGGTTTCGTTTACGAGTTGAACTAGCACATGGTGGACGGCACTCCTCGTCACATCGTTCCAGCAGTTACAATCGTAGTAGCAGCAGCCGTGGTGCTTCTCGACGCTCTGACTATCATGTGCTAGTCACTGAATTGCCTCCCGCTATTCATCGTCAACCCCAACGTCGTCACCGTCCTCGACTACAAGTCCTTGTCGCATATGTTCGACATGGAGTTGGTCGAGAAGGAGAATGTTCTTGTTAGCAACTTCATGCCGAGTTTCAAGTTCACCGGCGACTTGAGGACCTGCGCTTATCTTGATGCATCCAAACCCCAACACTCCCAAATCAAAAAAACTTTGCCATGGACATCTTGAAAAGAAGCCCCAAAACATGGGTGCCGGATCTCACTGCCAAACATAGCTTCACGGAAGACAAACTGTTGCCCTCCAAACTTCGCCCAGCCCAACAACAATGGCTGCTGGTGCAACCCGCCTCGCACCCACTTTGATCTCGCCATGCCCATGTTCATCAAGATCGCCGAGTACCGTGCCGACATTGTCCCTGTTTCTTACCGCCAGGTGCCATGCCAGAAGCAAGGTGGAATCAGGTTCACAATCAGAAAATGGATACAACAGCTCTATCTGTTGCTAGAAAGCGGTTGGAGGAATCAAATCAGCTACTATCCAATGACAAGGGGTATGTTCATCTTAAAAAACTTGCAAAAAATGCTAAGAAGGCGACAACAACATATGATATCACGTGTTTCATTGATATATCCTGTAAAGTTCACTAGGGGTCCTGCACAAGAACAGGAACTTGAATCATTTCCTAACACTAGTGGATCATGAGGGTCAGAGTTCTGCAACAGCCCTGGGATATATCGGTCATTTGTTTCAACGAAGCATGTGGAGTTCCCTCTCTTTCTAGATGGCCAAGACACAACGAGGCATGTGGAGTTCCCTTTACTCGTGTGTTTTGATGGGCTCGAGGAGTGAGAATGGATGGGCACGACCAGGCTGTCAAAGAAAAGCAAGTGGGTTTGCAAGCAAAAGATACCTTACAAAGCAACATGGGTGGACAGAGAATGAGCGGGGAGATCAAGAAAAGCAGAAAGCAAAAGAAAAAAGAAGCAGACATAATTGCGGTGGTGATGGCATGCAAAAAAAGGAATTATGGGCGTGACCCATTGAGCAGATGATCAGATTTATTTTTTGAATGATGTAATTTATTTTCCTTATCTTTCGGAGACATCTGTATAAACCCCATCAGAGAGTAATAAAAAAAATTAATAAAAACTACAAGCCCAAAGTAATGGGCTACAATGTCATGTGGAGGGCGAAGGCCCGTACGCCCAAAAGAGCCAGGCTCTATGGCTCCAAATTCATTCAGCACCCTGCCGCTATTATCACCAACCAGGTGATCAAAAGTATGCTCAGTACTTCCAAAATAATTCGGCACCCTGCCTCTACTATCACCAACAAGGTGATCAAAAGTACGCCCAGTATTCCAAAATTATTTGGCAACATGCCGCTATTATCACCAATTAGGTGATCAAAAGTACGTCCTATACTCTAAAATTATATATGAGCATCACTCATGTCAATCATACATAAACATTAAATAGCATCACTCATGTCAATCATACATAAACATTCATGACCATCATTCATGTCAACATTCATGAGCATCACTCATGTCAAACATTCATGAGCATCACTCATGGCAATCAACATAAACATTCATGAGCATCACTCATGTCAATCTAGCTTTGAAAGCTTCATTTACAGAGTTCTAGCTTCAAAAAGCTTCATTTACAAAAGCTTCATTTACAGAGTTCTAGCTTCGAAAGCTTCATTATAGAACTCCAGCTTCGAAAGCTTCATTTATAGAACTCCAGCTTCGAAAGCTTTATTTACAGAGCTCTAGCTTCAAAAGCTTCATTTACAAAAGCTCCAGCTTCGAAAGCTTCATTTACAGAGCTCTAGCTTCAAAGCTTCACTTGCAAAGTTTCACCTACAAAGCTTCAGTGCAGGACATACAAGTACCACCTCCGAACAACCACCACTTCGGCCCATACATGGATTCAATTTGAAGTCTCCAGCCTACAGACTTTATTGACCGAAGACTTGAGGGACTACATTATGTACCATTTATTGGGCCTCAACTGGGCCTCATGAAAAATACTTGGGGGACTCTAGCCCATTATTTATGTAATGAGGAGCGAACCCTTATTCTATAAAGGAGACTCCCTCACTTTTATTAGAGAGCACCCATTACTTATGTATTGAGGAGCGAGCCTTTATTCTATAAAAGGGACTCCCTCACCATCATTAGAGAGCATCGCCGCCAACTGAGCAACCGCCTCGCCGCGAGCATCACTCCTAACCCATCACTTATGTATTAAGGAACGAGCCCTTATTCTATAAAAGGGACTCCCTCACCATCTAGTTGAGCATCACTCTAGCCGATCACTTATGTATTGAGGAGCGAGCCCTTATTCTATAAAAGGGACTCCCTCACCATCATTAGAGAGCATCACCGCCTGCTGAGAAACCGCCTAGCCGCGAGCATCAACTCTAGCTCATCATTTATGTATTGAGGAATGAGCCCTTATTCTATAAAAGGGACTCCCTCACCTTCAACGCCACAAGCCGAGCCAACCAAGGCAACTTAAGCCACAAGCAGAGCAGCCTCATAGCAGGTGCTACTTCTAGTTGAGCATCATTTCAGATTGAACACCGCCTCATATCGAGTATCAGTCCTAGACGACATCTAGTTACTTCGGCCCACACATAGACTGAATTTCAAATCTCCAGCCAAAAGACTCTCTTGACTGAAGACTTGAGGGACTACTGTTTGTACCATACTTAGGGTCTCCGTATTTAGATCTCGTATAAATACTCGGGGCACTCAAATGTAATTATGTAATAAATTGAGGGGCAAATATGTAATAAGTGATGAGCCTTTATTCTATAAAAGGGTCTCTTCACCCTCACAAACCTCAAGCCTCACTCTCACCCTAAGAGGCTCTCACTCTCTCTCCCTCACCATCCTCTCCAACATCTCAGAGAAATACAATATCAGTATGGACGTAGCCCAAACATTGGGGTGAACCACGATACATATTATGTTATTTACTTGCTTGCAGATTCATGGTCGGATTTACGTTGTTTCAAGACCCCTCCGATTTTGTGCATCAACAATAGCAAACACAAGAATTAACACATAATTGTCATGTTCTTCGAAATAACTAATATAACTAACACATTTGTGTCTCTCAGTCTTTCTTTACTAGAATGTACTGATTTATTGCCATAATAACTGCCAAAGTTTTAAAATCATACTATGCAAAAGCACGAATCAAGTAAAGCCTAATGCTTACCATCCCATTTGCTTTTCCCGTAAACTGCATATGCATCTTACAAAACACATCATCATATTTTCTAATTATTCCGTAGATAAAAAATTATATCTTTAGATTGTTGGAGCAATATTAGAAAATATGAAAAATAACAATATAATTACAATGATAATAATCATAAAGAAAATCACAACATCAATTTATGTATAAGATTAATATAAATAACTAGAGATAAAGTTAAAAAACTGACAAACTTGGAGATTGAAACTTGCATAAATGCAATGTCTTAAAAACAGAATTTCACTCCTACTCTTATGCTTGTAGTTCGGTAGGCGTCCATTTCCCAGGATTCAATAATCTATAATCCAAAGTCAAAGCACTTCAATCTTCGGACTCTGACGAACTTCATATATTCCGTACTCTCAAGACACAACTCGGAGTTTGACTAACAAAAATAAAAGACAGTGGAGAAAACTCTTTTTTTTTTTTTTTTGATCCATTAGATATGTGGGATGTTTGAGTTTATATAGAACTCAAGTCACCCCTTTTTGAAACATTGTGACCGTTACCTAAAGTTCCAACGAACAGACGCAACTCATGAATTTGAATTCAACTATAATACATAACTTTTATTTTTCATTCATATAAAAATTAAATATTATAATATTAATTATAATATATAATTTTCAACATTTCCTTCTTCTTTGAGCTCTGTGATAAAAAAACCGGGACTGGCGTTAATCGAGCAGAGCTCGGCCGTGGAGAGTCCCAACCCCAATCCCTATCCAACACCCAGTCACCCGCTCAGTCCCAACCCTAATCTCACAAATTGGCTCGTTGGACTCGATTGAAAGACGTAGGAGTTGACTGAAAGCCGTTGGCGAACAACCGTCATCACTGCAAAGCCGCCACCACACCCACCGGTAACGAAGCGGCGATGCTCTTCTTTTTCGGCTTCCTGGAAAGAAAATTTTCTTTGTTTCTCAGGAAAATTGGGATGGAAATTTGGAATTTGATCTTCTTCTTCTTCTTTGAAATTTGAAGCTTTATTTATGTGCAATTTAAAGTGTGGAGAGAGAGAGAGAGAGAGAGAGAGAGAGAGAGAGAGAGAAAAAGAGATGGAATGCGGGACGAGGTTCTGGAAGAAGGGGTGGGCGGAGCATCTCCTCCTTTGAGGTTTCGTTTTTCATTTTTTTAGGAATATCAGGAGAAGAAGAGTGGAGGTTTCATTTTTTTCACCTTAGTTTTTAATATTTAATTATTTTTATTGGAAATTTTTATTTGAATTCATATAACTTCTTTCTACACTTAATTTACTCTTTACACTTATATTAGTTTTAATTAAACTATTAATATCTCTTTAAACCCAAATTTACTACCTAAACTACCCTCACAAACCCAATTCAATATGTAAATTGTATTTGCACCCATTTGAAAATTAACAAATCAAAATCAAAGCATTCTCTCTATGTACGTTCTCTCCTTTTCCAACAATTGCTTTTGATTTCTTTATAGTGTTAGTCTCGGTAAATTTCAGGTTCCTTTGCATCAATTGTATAGATTCACACTATTTCCATTAAGAAATAACTACAAGCAATCAAATAATTCATTTATGGGGAAACGTATACTTGACATCTGATGGTATGGAGTAATCTGCAGTACCATGAAACAAAATACTAGGAGCTAAGAGAGAAGCATCATTTCAAACATTCTAGTCTTGAATCAAAAGTTCAGGAGGAAAATGTTGCAAAGATTGTTCTTCTTCCATTATACTGTGAGAGGTTCTGAAGTCATAAAAATTAAATGCAATTCTAACTTCATTTTTTTTAACAAAAATGCAATTTTGACTAAAACTATGAAATTATAAGATATTATGTAGGGCCAACATTTTAGGAGACCAAGAAGTCTATACCCTAGAAAGATTTAATGATATATACCTCGGCAGTGGAATTGATCCACTAAAGTTAAGCAAATTGTATCTGTTTGAAATTAGAAAACTCAAAAGTCAACTAAATACATGAGAAGCAATTCAAAGGAGATAGAAAATCTAGTTGAGAGCAACTCTATTCGGTGAGAAAACTTCTTGTTCATTTGCATTGGATAGTCATTTTTTGTGTAAGAGAAAGAACCATGAACATAAACATAAAAATTGTAATGCTGATCAATTTTTTTAGTAACATGATTTGTATTGGGGTGCTGCCATTTTTTGTTAGGGTTTGATTAATGGGTGTGAGTTTATTGATAAATTTTATTTTTATTGTTAATTGTATATTGTACTTGATGGTAATTATGTAATAGGATAATATTGACATTTCATATTTAAAATTTAAGTTATGTGTAGAAAGATGTTATATGGGTTCAAATAAAATTTTTCATTTTATTTGTCACGTCATTAAAATATAAGGGTTTTATATATGTCACGTCATCATTTAATAGTCAAATTGACGATTTGACTAATGGATGTATGAATTTGCAATGAAATGAAAGAAAATGTGTGAGATTGAAATGTTTTAAAGATATTGTATGAGGTTGCAAGTGCACCAAAACCTGATGGGGTAAAATATAATTTACCTTAAAAATAATTTGGGCCTATAAAACAAGATGGACTTGGACTGGGCAAATTAGTGAGAAAACAAAATTGGGCCTAATATGTAATAAAAACAATATAAATATCCTCACGGTTTGGTTCGGTTTGAACTGGTTTCTTAAAGGCCAAAACCAAACCGAAATTGGTTCAAAACAGTTCGGTCCAGTTCTCAGTCAAAGTTTGACGGGTTTTGGTCAGCATGTTTTTTTTTTCTTCGGTTTTTTTCATTCGGTTTGGTTCGATTTCACGATTTCTTGGTTTTTATGCCCACCCCTAAATGAGATCACAGTTGACGGTGCTGGTTACGACCAGAGGCAGAGGATCCATAGCCACAATTGTTGGATCAAAATCTTCGGATAGCATCTTCAACACCACAACTCTGTTTTTGTGATCCATGAAATTTATAATGTTGAAACATCAAACAGTTGAGAGTTGGACGAGCTACAACAATACAGAGGAGGAGGAAGATGAGAGATTGGAAAGAGAGAAAGCTCTGCGCACACCAGAAGCTTGACATTATAACAAATTTGTAAGTCGATGTATAATATTGCAATGTTCAAAAGATGAGGTATGAATTTGTTATGTGACCCAAAGTTAAAGTGGTAAAATATAATTTATCCAATTTTTTTAGTAAAAAGAGATTAGTTAAGTAAATTAGTAATGATAAGGGAGTGTAAAAAGAAGGTATTATCCATAAGATTTTCATTTCCATACGGAAAAGAGATAAAGATGCTATAACTTGTATCTACCGTACTGGGGATGCGAAGATGGGTCATGTCACTCCCGATATCACAGACTCCAATCTCTGATTAATACTACATATATATACACACACACTCTATAGCATATAAAAAGAACAACTGAGAAATAAATAAACTCAAAGGCCCAACGGACTATTATAATTTACTTAATTATGCAAGGACAGACTAATACCCTCAAACTCATCATATATATTTTGCATCACCTGATCACTCTCACTCACCAACACCAGCTCAACTCTAGTTGTTTGACTTTGTCCGGGTCTTCTTATAGTCACTGATTCTGGGGGATATTTTCTTTTTCTTTTTAGCTTGTGGTTCTGCTGGGGTTACATTCCTAGATATTAATATCATTCACTAGCAAGTGAAGTGAATCCTCTCTCTCTCTCTCTCTCTCTCTCTCTCTCTCTCTCTCTCTCTCCACGTAGTCACGTACGAGTCATTTCCTTAGCCTTAGGACTGCCTTGCGAGCATCATCTTTATATGCATATTCCGTGCCATTTGTTTTCCGGCGAATAATTAGAAGCGGTCGATAAGAAAAAGAGTGCAAAAAGAAGACGACATTTGCATGAACCCCTGAATATAATTATATATAATTATATATATATGTATTCCAACCGCTTCCTTCTCCTGAATAATAGTAGATTGCTAGAAGGGAAAAAATATAGAGAGAAATAGCAATAAATAAAGTTCAAACAAATAAATTAGCTAGGAAACATATATCTCTGTCCAACTACAAGAGAGATCGAAATATACACCTAGTATTATCACCATATGTGGAAAATAAAGTAAACGTTTGGAAGTGTAGGCTTTGTGTTTGTGGTCTGGAGATCGGGTCCTCCCCTCCATTTTCACACTACACCGACTGCTAGTCTACTAGTCTGGTACAGTAGTGGTAATCCTGGTAAAAGTTCCAACGAGAAAAAAAGGTTTGACCGTAGAAATCGAGGCCACCGCACGCACGCAAGACTAGAACTTGTACTACTCTTACTCTCCTTTTCCATAAATAAATATTTATTTATCTTTAATTTGATGAATACTTATATTTATCGTTGTTTATTATTCTTGCTTTTTGCTAAACTTTCAGGACAATAAAAGGAAGAAGAATAGAAGTTGAGAGAGTTGATAATCTTTCCCTTCCACCCACACGGTCAGAGTTGTCGAGTCACATCCTCTTAATTCTTATTATTTTATCTCATTCTTGTCCTCAATAAAGACCCATGGCCTGGACGGAATTTGTTGTTTTTTCCTTTCCATTTTTAACACTTGGTTCAACGTTTTACGTTTTTATTGGACATTATTATAGCATGTTACTACTTACTACAGGTAAGTAAGTTGGACCTTGGTTCATCCCAATAAAGTCTTCTTAGTTAATTAAAATTTATTTTGTCCCATACAAATCTTCCCAGAAAATATATAATTTTTCTAGTATGAATTTCAAGCAAGATCTGCTTCCAAAGCCTTCATTGAGAACGGTGAAACATAACCCCTTTTTCTTGAACTCCTTTCCATCACGAGATCCAATCTCTCAGGCTCAAACCCACGGGTAAATAACCTTTTTTTCTTTTTTAGTTAAATATTATTACTACTGTATGCTTCCTTCCTTCCTCCGATTAAAACCATACACAGAGAGGGAGAGGGAGAGAGGACCCTGCAAATTAAAGTCCCGATCAAATAATCTCTTCTTCTCTTCTTCTCTCCTCCTCGCCTTTTCTCTAGCTCGCTAGTTGCATCTTATCTTCTCTTAGTGTTTATCTAGTGGTCGACTATTCCCTACAAGAGGAGATCTATATTTTTGCACCGCTACCCGCAGCTTAAGGTTTCTGGGGTGGTGAGAGATATAGTTATTTGCATCTTATCTTGTCTCCGTGTTTGTCTAGTGAATGCATCAATGTTTTCGTTGTACTTTTACTTTCTTTTTCTGGCAAATAATACCATACACCAATTTTAGCTGACCATCGCGTTCACGCTAATTTTGAATCTTTTGATTACTTAGTTGGTTTTATTGGGGAATTATTCAAGGTCATAATTAAGAAGGAAATTCCAACTTTGATTGGCCGGCGCTGCTCTTACTATGGCAAACGGCCATTATACCATAGATTTTGCATTTTCTCTCTTTTCTTGTTCCAACTCGTTTCTTTATTAAGTCCCATTTGTTTGTTTAATTTCTTTTCCACTCGGGTTGGGTCTATGCATTCATCATGATTCATTGTTTCCCTTTCTGCCGTACGTTTCTCATCCCTTTTGCATCATTTGTTACTCGGTGCAAGAATTCAAATCAATGTTTGGTGAGATAATCATCAATAACTACTTAATTACTGTCCGTCATGGTAACTGGATAAGTTTAAAGATACTGATAAGAAAACTAAACATCGACCAAAAATTTATTTTTCCATCTGTAATTCTGTGAATGTATAAGGTTTTTTTCTTTCCATTTCTTTGTAGTTAGACTTTTTTTTCTTTTTAATTTTCAGTTTATTTCTGGAAATGCCATATGAATTGAATTTTATTTTTGGAATTTTCACGATCTTTATATGCTGATGGGTGATGGTCTTATTTAATACACGTATATTATATATGTTATATTAATGACTGTATAGGTCAAAATTATTTACAGAGGAGGAAGAGGTGGAAGATGGCATCATCGTCGACGAATTCACCATGCGCCGCGTGTAAGTTCCTGCGACGCAAGTGCCAGCCAGAGTGCGTATTTGCGCCGTACTTCCCACCGGACCAGCCGCAGAAGTTTGCTAATGTTCACAAAGTTTTTGGGGCCAGCAACGTCACTAAACTGCTCAACGAGTTGCACCCCCACCAGCGTGAGGACGCCGTCAACTCTCTCGCCTACGAGGCCGACATGCGCCTCCGCGATCCCGTCTACGGCTGCGTTGGAGTCATCTCTCTCCTCCAGCACCAACTCCGCCAACTTCAGATGGATCTGACCTGTGCTAAATCCGAACTCTCCAAATATCAGAACTTGCAGGGTCTCACTGCCAGCCACGGACTCATAGCCGCCGCCGCTGCTGCCGCCGCCGCAACTGCCACTGCTGCCACCCACACCCACAATAACAATAATAATAACAATCACCACCATCCTCTACATTTACAGTCCTCTTCACTCAACAACTTGGGAATGGGGATAAATCTCATTTCAGGCGGCGGTGGTGGCCGAGAACACTACCCCCACCAGTTTTTCCCCAGAGATCGAGAACGAGAACGAGACCATCATTCCCATCATCAGCAACAGATGATGATTAGGAGCTTTGATGCCGGAAACAACTACGATGCAAGCCTTCTGTCCATGAACGCTGCTGTAGGGGGCATTCATGGCCAACTCAGTCATCAGTTCCAGCAAACTAGGGCTGCTGCTGGCGACGACCGCCGAACCATTGATCCTTCTTAATTAGGATTTCCTCTTTTCCTTACTTACTCACAACAACTTCAACCAATTCCATCAAATTAATTAAGGTACGTTTATTAGTTATACATAAATATATAAATTACAAATTTATATTTGATTTCCACAATACTATCAGTTTGGTTGTGATCCATTTATTAGTTTTATTGTCGTTGTTCTAACTCTTGAGGGTTGGATATATAAGTGCCTTTACTTAGTACTGTATGATCACTGTTTTAGGTCAATTATGCGCTAATTCACATACAATCAATCAGGCCAAATGCTGATCAAATAAAAGTTTTCAAAAATTTTAATTATGGTGAGAATTAATATTTTTTTAAGACTGAAAATTAATTGTTGAAGTTCATATTTAGTTATTTAAAAAACAGTGATGCTAGAAAGATTAAATTTGAAGACTACAATTGTAAATTAAATGATGTGTCACCAATAGAAATGAACACGTTTATCAACGCTTAAGTAATAAATCAATCATCAACTTTTATATCATTTAGTTTTCAAAATTTAGTTTCCAAATTGAATAATGCTATAAAGACTAAATTTCTAAACTAATTTAGTCTCGTATATATGATAGCTTACTATTACTCTTTAAAAAAAAGTAATATATTATTGTTTACTATTAAAATGATCAGTAAAATACTCAAAATTAACTATAAATACTAGAGTGATTTGATTGACATCCTACATTTGTTAAGTACACCTTATCTACCGAAAATACTCTAAATTCTAAAATTTATCATTTACACCCACTTAACTTAGCCAAACTATTCGTACACCCTTTTACCCAAAAAATCAAATACTATTCGTACACCCGCACAGTATCCCAACTCCCAAGTGATACATTGTTTTAAAAGTCAGTAGCTTCCAACCGAAAGTGAGTTAAGTTTCAGCGAAGAGACGCTAAAAGTCGAAATTTTTCGCAAAATTCTACTGAGGTAGTGTTTTGGAAGGTGCTTACCGAAATTGTTTTAAGGAAATGATTCACACACACCATTATTTGTCTCTCACACACCATTATCTTCAATTTTTTCTTAGAGGTCTATAGAAATGTCTTCACTTTTTCGGTACCAAAATATCTCCATAATAAAGAGAAATATCTAATTAATAAAAAAAAAAACTCTCGTCGGTTTGACTAGAAGTATGACATTGTTCCAATTGCAAAAGAGTAATCTACACTTATCATTTAAGTGTACCATCATTTGTACCATCCTCTAATTGAGATAGGATCTGCCAATACATATGGGTCTCATCTCTATTAGAGAGATGATACTACTAGATGGTAAGAGTAGAATTTTTTATTGCAAAATGAAAGAAAGAGTTATACCTTATATGCAGTAAACAATCGATTTTATGTTCAATTTGTCAAATTTAACGTTTTTTTTTAACCAAAGTGTATGAGTATTCACGTCACTAGTGTTTGGGGTTTATTTGATTCCACAATAAACGGTGGGGGCATGTCTGAGAATTTGAAGAAAGAGATTTTTGGTGTGTAGATGTTATTTCACGGTAGACTTGGGACTTTGAGAATCCTTCCTCCAAACATAACCTTACGACCCAAATAGTATTTTATATTAATACATATAAATTATTAGTATATCAACAAAATGCGAGCGCCAATAACCCACCCTATACAATTTTTTTTTTAAATTTTAGAAACCCTAAATATTTTCAAGTGAGCACTTCCGAAGAAGAATCCAACTTAATCAAAGGGAAAAAGAAGGCGACACAAATCGCACTGCTGAATGTTTGAACAAAATGCCTACGTACCTACATCAAAGTACTTTTATCAATTCTTTGTTCTTCCTTTTTCCATTTAAAACAACATAAATTCTTACTGTTAAAGAAAAATGATTATACCCAAAACAGTGAGGAGTATAGTCAATTAATATTATGATTTAGTGATATTCCTCTTTACTTGTAAGTGAGAGGTCTTATGTTCGATTTTCGTCAAAGACGAATTTAAACCACATTATTGCTAACCTATTATGAGACTAAACTTACCATCTCTCTCTTAAAATAAAAAATATCGTTTGTTAATAAAAAAATTCAGTGAGGAGTGCATATATAGCACCCGATGTCCGGAGTCCGGACTCAGATTTTTCGCTATGCTACCACACTTACACTGCGCACGGTTGTATTGTATGACAATCTCAAGTCATGCGAAAAGCTAGCTAGTTAGTATATGATTAATTAGGTTTTGCTTTACAAATCATACATAGTCCCAGACTCCCATACACTCATGATTTTGTTAACTCTTTCTATCCATTTGTTTTGGTACACATGCAGGGTATCAAGTACTATCAAGAAACAAAGTTGGAAATTTTTCAAAAGCCTAAATAAACAGCGATGAGAGAGAGAGATGGGTGGAAGAGGTTGACGGTTTTATTTAATTAATCAAATACCTCTTTTACAGACAATTTAATTATATCTAATTTATGTCTGTTTGAAATTGTTTTCTCATGCACACATAGTTTATCAACTGTATCTGTTTTCATGCATATAATATTATTATCCTCCTCCGTCCTCTAAGGAGAAAGAAAAATGGGGAGAAAAAGAACAAGAACTTGCACAGAAAATAAAGGAAAAGGGAAAAACAAGTTTGTCCAGAAAGTGTACTTGAACTCGCAGCAGTCTCACAGTATAACACCACAAGTTCGTGTCCGCTTATGGAGCTGGCACAGTGCATGGCTCTGGATTTGTTTGTACTCTTTTTGCACTCTTTGTCTCAACAGTAAAATTAGGAGACAGATATATCTATTTGCAGTCCCATATATATGATCCTATTCCTATGATAGCTAAGTCAATTCTATAACCCCATATTAATTAGATGATATGGTAGTTCTGGAAAGATGGATGCTGGATGCATGCGTGCATGCATGCATCAAAATATGATTACCATAATAATTAGTTAATTAGTATATAAAATGACTAATGACCATTTTAGTTTGTACGGGATTAGAGTTAACATAAAATTTCTAACAGCACTCAGACGCCATTTGACCAACTGGTGAAATCAAATGTTGTAAGTCACTCGACAATATTCATTGCAAGTGGAGAAATAATCAAGTTTAATCGATCATGTGTCCTTTTTCCAATAATAGGGTTTATGTGTGTTTGTCCTCATAGTTTAATTAGACTGACGCGGCAAAAGGAATAATTTAACCAGCATATATACGCATTTTGAAATATACATATATATATGTATATTTATACACACTGTAGAGAGTACCTATACAGATACAGATGATAAATGCCTGGGCAAAATTAGTTTGGAAGTCATGGAGACTGTTAAGCAAGCATAAGGCATTTCTTCCGTTCCCGGACAAAGGCAGAAGACAACGAAATAAGACAAAATGACTGACTGACGGATAGGTGATGGGGAAAATTAATTAAGGCTACCCTCAACCTCAAGAAAGAGAGAGAGAGAGAGAGAGAGAGAGAGAGAGTGTTAGCCTAGTTTTTCTCCTTCTGCCAGAAACATGAAGGGCCATTCCAGAGAAGATGTCATGACCATTTACTACCCTCTTTACAGAATACTCACTTTAATATATGAAAAGAAAGAAAAAAAATCCTACTCAAAATCCGATGTAAAACAACAGAAATCAAGCTGCACAAAAAAGAGATTAACTAGCTAGCTAGATTGATCAGAAATATGATGTGGCTAGGCCGGAAGGAGAAGAAGCAGACATACAGATCATAGGGAGGTAAACATGAATTTAATTAATTGAAATTTACATTAAAGGCAGGCAGTGTTAGAATAGAAATGTAAATATTGTAATTGATATTTCCTAGATTATTTCCTAATAGGTCTTCTTGATTATTTCCTAGAGTAATTGTGATTTTTGTATAGTTATATACTTCCTCCTCGCGATATGCCAATGTGATAAAAAGAGATATCAATGGTTGGTAGGAAGATTGATGTCGCATCCCGGTCCGGGCCCCCACCACATCTCATGCTCAACTCCGCTGTAACACGATATTGTCCGTTTGGGGTCCCGATCACGCTCTCATGGTTTTGTTTATGGAAACTCACACAAGAACTTCACAGTGGGTTACCCATCATGGGATTGCTCTCACACAAACTCGCTTAACTTCGAAGTTCTGATGGAACTCGAAGCCAGTGAACTCCCAAAATGTCTCGTGCTATGTAGAAATAGGAATATACATATAAGGCTTACAGGATCCACTCCCTTGGACGATGTGGGATGTCACAATACACCCCCTTAGGGGCCCGACGTCTTCGTCGACACACTTGCACCACACGACAAAGTGGCTTTAATACCATTCTGTCACATCCCAGTCTTGACTCCGCTGTAACACGATATTGTCCGCTTTGGGCCCCGGCCACGCCCTCACGGTTTTGTTTTTGGGAACTCACATGAGAACTTCTCAGTGGGTCATACATCCTAGGAATGCTCTCGCCTGAACTCGCTTAACTTCGAAGTTCCAATGGAATCCGAAGCCAGTGAGTTCCCAAAAGGCCTCGTGCTAGGTAGAGATGGGAATATACATATAAGGCTTACAGGATCCACTCCCTTGAGTGATGTGGGATGTTACAATTGATGTATCTGGCTCATACGCAGACGTACTTGGCTTATGATTTAAGTGTGGTAAGCCAGTTTATGCATGATCCTAGAAAGAAAACATATGGATGCATGGATGCAAATTTTACAATATGTGAAGTCAGCTCTGTGAAAGAGATCTTGCTCTCAAAGAATGGTCATTTGAAAGTTGAAGTGTATACAAATGTTGATTGGGCAAGATCGGTTGATGACAGGCGATTAACACCCTGTTACTTCACTTTTGTGGGAGGTAATCTGGTGACATGGAAATAAGAAACAGAATGTTGTTGCTCGCTCAAGTGTCGAAGCAGAGTACAGAGGCGTTGCTTTGGGAACTATTGAAATGCTTTGGTCACAAAATATCATAAGAAATTTAAGATATGGTCTGAGAAAAGGCTATGAAGTGGTATTGTGACATTAAAGCTGCTTGTCAGATCGGAGCTAATCCGGTTGATCATGATCAAACGAAGCATGTAGAAGTAGATTGGTTCTTTATCAAAGAGAAGCTAGACCACAAGATTATTGAGATACTCAAAGTTAAGTTGGAAGGTCAGCTTGCATGTCTTAACAAAAGTTGTGTCGAATAAAATATTTGCAAAGCATATGGCCAAATTGGGCATGTTTGAGATTTATGCACCAATTTGAAAAGGGAGTGTTTAATTCAGAAATCATAGACAAATAAACATGCATTTAATTAATTGAAATTTATACAAAGGCAGGGAGTGTTCGAATCAGAATATAAAATTGTAATTGATTGTACAAAGGATTGCTTTTCTTGAATTAATTATGATTAGGATTGTACATCTATATATGTTCTTCTAATATTAAAGCGAACATGGATCCTCTCTAGATCCAGTTGTCCTAATCCACCTAATCAAATCATCCGGATTATTGAAATTTGATCCAACAACTAAAGTTATTACAACTTTTAAAGTGGATCCCTGTTCGTAGCCGTTAGATCAAATTTCAATAGCCTGGATGATTTGACTAAATGGATTAGGACAACTGGATCCAGAGAGGATCTAAGTCCTATTAAAGCATTAATAGATTCTTAAGTTGCAGATGCTACGCATACGCACTCTTAAATTTGATAGCTAGCTAAGCTAGGTAGTTCGTCACGTATCAGTGAAAGAGATAAGTTAGTAGCTTATCCGCCATCTCTAATGAAGATGGTTAAAGGTTCCAAAGCCAAAAAAATGACTTAATTTGTTTAAACATTTATCTCTAACCGATCATTAAGTCATAATTCTATAAAGTCTACTAGATTATTATTTGATCAAAGGGTTATCATACTGGCCAAATGTTTCCCTCTTCTTATGCCTCTCATGGGTGAAAACTGAAAAATCCAATCTTCTTCCCTTCCTCCCTTCCCTTCATTATTTGGTTCCAAAATCAAAACGGACGTAGTCAAATCAAGTCAGATCAAAAGAAAAATGAAAATTGATTTGCATGACAATTATGACGTACTATTGCAATGATGGTTTTGGCCTTTAATGCCATTGGCATTTGCCAGTGTCATCTGTCTCTCCTCTTTAATTCTCTATCTCGCATATCCATATTTCGTCGTATATATTAGGTAGATCAAATGTTCAGACTAATAATTTAAATTATGTAATGTTATCACTAACAAAAATAAAATACGTTAATCAATATTAAGGCTATTTCTAACTAGAAAAATTAAATATAATCTTGTTTAAAATTATAATTTTTAAAAATTATTTTTAAAAAAAATATTTCAAGTCATTCTCATATACCATCTCCAACTGATTAAGCTAAATATGACACCAATTTTTAGTAAAATGCACAACTTAACTTGGCAAAAATTTATGAGTTTACAGTTTATACCTTAAATTTATTTGTTAATTTAGTTAAACTATCGTTGAATGTTTTCAAATCTAGTTGTTGAATTTGAATAAATTATTGCAGCTGAGAAGCTGGGCTACAAAAAAAAGGCTAAGATAGGGGTTACATATGGCCAACCTGATGTCATTTTGGCCAAATAATTGCCTAATAGGCTTCATAAAATTATAGTTTTCCCATCGGTTGAAGATGAGTTTTTGGACAAATTAGACCATTTTTTTGGCTTTTGAAACATTAGCCTTCTATATTAGAGATGGCCTAAGTAATATTTCAATCGTCAATAACTATGTCATATAGCTTATAAAATATGATTTAAATAGATAGACTCTCTATCATTAGCCTATGTGATATATATATATATATATGGGGTTAGGATTGAAGAACATCAATTTTGATAACTTTATTTAATGAAAAAGACTTAAAGTTTAATGAAAATGATTTAAATTTTAATGAAAATGACAAAAATTTAATATAATAAAAAATATAATAGAAAGAAAAAAAGACGTGCATGCATCCATCGTACAAACTATTTATGAAACTGAACAACACTACACTATTTCTGAAACTAAACGGTACTATTTTTCTAAAACTGAACAATATTTCTGAAAACTGAACACTAATTATTTCTGAAACTAACACGAATATCACACTATTTCTGAAATTGAACACGAGTACTACGCTATTTCTAAATTGAACACCGGTACTACACTATTATTAAAACTGAACACGGGCACTATTTCTGAAAGGTTGTCGTGCACTGACTATTTTTAAAACTGAATATGATATTCTCCAGGAAGTCTCACAACTATTATTCTCTCATCTTCTTAAATTTTGTCGGCACTTTCTCACCTTCTAAACACATTTTCTTCTTCTAATTTTCTTTGCTTTTCATCCTACTTTTTTAAATCACAAACCCAAAAAAAATGTCTTAATGTTGTAAAATGATACGCAAAAATAAAGATGTAAGCACCTACACGCACAGCAAGACAAGGCCACATTCTACTATTACAAACCTATAACACCAAGAGAAAACTCAATAATTACATTTAGGACTAGATATTTGTCGATGTCCGACAGGTTCCTGGGGGAATTCTGTCATCCGGCCCAGTTAGCTTGAACTGCTATATTATGCGTTTACTATTAATAATCTCTTCATCAATCATAGAAGAAAAGATAAGAAAAACGGCTTGAAAATTTTAAGTTTTAACGATAAGGACAAAATAAAAGGTAAAGTGAATAGTAACATGATTGACTTTTTAATGTAAAAAATGTGGTTTTTCGTTAAAGTAAACAGTACTAGAAGTTTTTCGTTAAAATTCCCTATAAGATATAGAATTCTACATACATTACAATTGCTATAATGGGA